TCTACGTCCAGTGCCGAAACGCTGCTACGCCACCAGTACACGACGGGCAAAGCCATGTCAAAGACCGAGTCTATGAGAATCCACAAGAGTGCAAGAAGCACAGACACGGCAGCACCCCCGATGTCGTCTTCCAAAGCCACTTCGCCAACGGCCTGAGCCAGGTGCAAGCATGGATATATGTAGTGCATGAACACCCGCTCCACCGCAGGCCAGTGCAGTGACAGCTTCGCAACGCAGCTTGTGGCGCACAGCTCCAAAGAAGGTTCTCCCTCGGCTCTGCAGAACGTCGCCCAGCAATAAGCGGCCCAAGCCGGTGCTACGGTGCATCGCGAGGTACATTGTACGCGGCAGCTTCCATGGAACCAGGATGCGAGCATAACTAGGTGGGTGACCACACAGCCGGCCCAGATGCAGGGTAAGTAGAAAAGACGAAAGACTGATGCGTCATGCTCAGCAGCAGTAGGTTCCAGTGGCTCATGCACGGTGAGCAGGACGTCATACTCCTGAGCATGTCCCAGGATGGTGTTTGTGTGCAGATCTCCCACCTGTGCCGCTGAAGTCTTCAGAAGAGTAGAGCGGAAGTCTCCTCGATACTCTGTCCACGGACGAACCTGGCCTCCAGACATTTTGCGCACATACTGGGCAGCATCCACACATGCATCTTGCAGAAATACCACATCCGTGTCCAAGGATCGCAACAATCCAGCTGTGCAGCTGCACTCGTCAAATACGAGCCGACCCGGATCGCAGCCCCACAAGATCGCAAAGTCCACTTCAGACTTGGACAGTTGCTTCAGCAAGCGCCGTTTTCCTGGTCCAGGTGGCATCCGAGCTTTACTGCATCTTGTGCCACTGTCAGTGGGACCTCTTGGATTGGTGATCCGGAAATGCTCCTCGAAGGCACATCCCGTGAAATTCCATTCAAATTAAGGATAACAAAATCAAAGCCCAGGGATGAACAAATCAAACAGGGATCCATGCATCAAAGCGCTACAGGGTCTTGGCTCGCAAGGGCAGCAAATTTTGCAAGTTACAGCATCACTGCCTATCCGGAGGCTCCACAGTCTGTACCGCAAAGCATTTCTGCCTCCTCGCAACCTTTTTCGAAGGCTCTAAACACTCTGGAACACAGTATTCTTGCCTCTTAGCGAGCTCTTCACAAGCTGCAAAAACGGCAACGTACAGCATTTCAGCGAAGTTGCAAGCTGCAAATACTTTAACTTGCAGCATGTCTGCCTGTTTTCAGTCTTCAAATACGACAAACTATGGCTTGGCCTGTGGCGTGTTTGAAAACATGGTTTGGTTTGGTTTTTCCAGGCCTGAGGCCATCATGCTCGGTGATGAAGACATATGGATTGTTCTGGGCCCGGCGTTGCCATCTTGGATGGGCCAATGTGCTCGGCAAAAAAGTCATGGTTCCTTCCCTCCATCCTATTTGGCTGGACCTTGTTGAGGCTAGGGCTGCACGGACACTGTTGCAAATAAGGGGTTTGCCGCATTTTCAGCCTCTGACTTGGCAGAAATGCAACCCTCAGACTGGTAAGAACTGCTGTAACCTGCAAATAGGCAGGAACCTCGAAATTAACCGTATATGGTGTAATTTACAGTTTTACAGCTTCGGGACACCCTGTAGAGTTAGGCCCTCCTTGTTGCCTCCCTTACTTCCCTTCCTTCTCTGTCTCCCTTGGCTCTGTTTTTGTTTTCCTTGCCTGTCTTTCTTCTAGCGGGATCCTGATTTAATTTGTTTGATACCCGTTTGATGCTTGTTGATCATTCTTTGTTCTTCTGATCTCTATCCCCGTCTCCTGTATCAGGCTGAAGCGAATCTGTGCCATTAACTTGGGGCAGTTCTCTAATCCCTCTCCTGGTGCCACACTTCGTTGTCATCATCCAAGCGGCAGCAATCCAGAATCAGCCACACCTTTAGTCCTCGGCACTTGCGCTTGTCCACGAGAATCCGGTTCATCTCTTGCAACAGCAAGTCGTCCAGCAGCACTAGCGACTTGTCATCATCGGGGCCCTTGGAGTCACATCCTGCAATTAGAGGAAGGATGCCGTCCTTGTTGCTGAGCCCATGCGTGAGGATGGCGCACACTGCAAGAATCTCCTCAGGGTTAGCAGGCGGATCAGGCCACTATGTCACTAAACCCTAAACCCTAAACCCTAAACCCTAAAATCTAAACCCTAAACCCTATTGACAGTTGCAGGAGGCAGGGCTGATGGGGCCCATTTCTGAATCTCCTTGTCGTCGCTGAAAGATGTCACGGTCTCTTCCACGCGGGCCACGAACTCTAGGACCTGCTCACGGATTCCCTGTGCTGTCAAAGACTTTTCGCGAGGCGGTCGTACATTCGCGCAGCCCAAGCCTAAGTCAGGTGCATCATGAGGGACAAGGTAAGGCAAGCTCCTTGGACTTATACACTCCGAGGGAATCTCTCAAGAACCAGCCACGATAAACAAAGTCGAGAATCGGCGAAAACGATGTGCCAAGCCAGCGGCTGTGCCACTGACTTGGGGCAACGGGCCCCAGCCGGACCCTCCGAATGAGGACACGCCAAGGACCAGGGCCTCTGCAAAGTGAGGAACTTCCCCATGCCGCCGCATCGAAGCCACTACATTTGGACTTGAGCCTCTTGCCGCAGAAGCCGTCTGATCAAGCTCGGGGCTTCAGTAGAGGAGCTCTGTGAGTTGTAGCCAGGTGTAAGGACACCCCCACGATTTTTTAGGGGCTCAAGGGCCCAACAGAAATACCTCTCAGCGGAGGAAGCACCTGCAAAGGCCCTGGTGCCCTGAACATGAGGATGGAAGGCTCGAACATATCTGCGATTCTTGGGGGAATCTATATACATCCTTTGCGAGTGGGAGGGGGGGGGATTTTCAGGGCTTGGGATTCTCGCACACACTGGAGAGCTACAAACGTCGAAGTCTTGGCCTGTTCCCGACTCCGCCGTGGCTCAGTAGCTCCGAAGCTCTTGTGGAGCACACACCTGAGAAGGATTTTGAAGGTGGCCAGCTTCAGTTCCCAACTTGCCCACGGGCTTGGGGCTTCGGAGGTTTACAGATCTACCGCAGTTCAGGTCCTGGCTAGATGAGACGGACCACGATCGGACAGTTCCGGCCTCCGCTATGGCACTTGGCCCCCCTTTGGGCCCCCCCCGCCCGAAGGATGTCTCATGGCTCAGGATGTAGGTTCGTCAACTCTCCCGCCAAGCCTTCCCCCCCCCCCCCCCCTTCCCCCCCGCAAAGATAAGGGCGCCAAGCCTTCCGGCGCACTGCCCGGTCTAAGTCGTGGAGTCCTGGCGCGGCTCTGCAAGATAATGGCAAGCTCTATACCCCTGAAGCTTAGATCCACAAGCCCCAAACCCTTCTTGCTAGATGCGTTCAGGGACTGGAAATTTTGATGGGGCTTATATAGCCTCTAGGCAGGCTGCCATGCGAAACTGCGCGCAATCACTTAAAATTCTAAAATGGTTCAGGGCCGGTTCGAGCACGTTGTACTGCTTGTCGCTGTTGTTGACATTGTCGTTGTCGTTGTTGTGGCTGTTGTGGCTGCTGTTGTTGTTGTTGTTGTTGTTGTTGTTGTTGTTGTTGTTGTTGTTGTTGTTGTTGTTGTTGTTGTTGTTGTTGCTGCTCCGCCAGCCCAATATTCGGACATGAAACAGTGACTGCAGTCGCTTCAGTTCCTTGCCTTTGATTACATGGCATGCCGTTGGCTTCATTCACTTCGTTCTCTTCACGTGCCACAAACAATGACACGGATGAAGAACGAATGTAGCGATCAGAACCGAGATACTGCAGATGAAAACAGTGAGCGGTGGCCTGCAAGCTAGTAGAATGACGCTGGGTCTGTGCTAGCCTGGTAGCCACTGCTTGCACTTCCATTTGTGCGTAGACTCTCATAGACTCTCATGTTCTTCCTTCCTTGCCTTCTTTCCTTTCCACAGAGTAGCTCCTAGTAGCTCTCTCCCTCGCTCTCTCTCCCTCTCTGTATCTATGCCCGATGCCCGAAGGCATCCGCTTCAAGCCTTGGCCATTTGGGCCAGCGACTGCCGAAGGCGGAGAACCTCGAGATGCCAGAGCCTCGAAGAGCCGGCAGGATGTTGGGTTTAGGGTTTAGGGATATTTGGGTTTAGGGCTTTATAGGTTGTAGAGGTTTCTTGATGGGTTTTCGGAGTCTAAGTCTACTTTTGTGCTGGGGTGTTTGGGGGGGGGGGGGGGGGGGGGTAGTAGGGCGTTCAGGGGACCATGTGCGACCTCCGCGCAAAACTCCGAGGAGTTGGGAGCTCCAACTCTTGCGGTGTGACGAATCTCGGGCTCGATTCTTGGCACCCCTCATCAAATTCGACTTGTGGATGCCAAGGACGTCTGGTAACATTTACTGGAATTAAGCCGCGAAAGCATGTCTCTAACGTGTAGAAGCTAAAATCTAAATGCTTGGACCCCATACGTTGCTACCCTTTAGCTTCCGTTGTCCCGCCGAAAGAACCTGAAACCCAAAGCACACAACATGTCCTCAAAGGCCACAAAACTTCGGAAAGGTTGCCTTTCCGTCTCTGCAGTCTCTTCGCTTGCGGTGGGAGCCTGAGGCTATACATGCCCAGAGACTTCATTTCATTTATCCATGTTCAGGAATATTCTAGCTGATTTGTAGGAAGGAACCTCATATGATTTAAGGAACATACCCCTTTACAGGGAATATTCGTTAAACTGTAGCAGGGTCATTTAATGAAACATCAGCAGTCTCACGATGATGATCGCCACCCTCAGCTTCTGAAGAAGTAGCAAGAGGGATCCAACAATTTATTGAGGAATATATCCCCTGATGTCGTGCTATTTGGAGTCTCTGGGTGCTCCTGCTCTGATAGGTCTGCGACATGGACTTGACTAGTAGAAACCTTGAACTTGCTCATTGCCGACTACGGTGAAAGGGAGCTGCGGGTGAGGGCTTCACTGAGCAGCTCCGAGGCAAAACTGGTCTTGCAGCGGACTGCAAAGAAAGCTTAGGCCGTGGCTGCGGCTGCTTGGCGGGCAGCACTCGCCTGCGGATGAGTTTAGACCGAAGCCGGTACCCTACCACGCCATGTTCGTTAACATTTTCCGTCAACGAATGCATATGTCGTGCGGTGTGGCGTATAACTACCCGTCCTGCATTTGCCCTGTCGACCGCTCCGGTAGTACACCGCCATGAAGTTCCGCCTTACAGACATGCCGTCACCGGCATCCGCTGTCTGCCAAACAAAACTGCCTTAAAAGCTGACTTTATACCTCACAGTACTGCCTGCAGGTCTCCAGAAACTCAAAGAGCACAAGATCCCCTAAACCCTCAACCCTAAACCCTAGAACCCCCAAAGGAAAGCCTCCACTGGTAGATCCCTTGCCGACGGGATGCCAGGAGGGCCATGGCCTCCAAGTCCGCTGCGGTAGAGCTCCGCCTCTTGTAGGGGAGTTGAGAGGTTATTCTACTTGAAGGTCCATGGGCACTTCTAAATAGGGTTAGTGATATATACATGTATGTATAGATATATGTATATATGTGTGTATATATATATATGTGTATTATTTTTGTTCGTCTAGCCCTACGTTCAAGTGTCCATGAAACTCCAAGAACAAGTCTGCGCACGCAGCCGCAGTGGGGGACGTGGAAGAAGTCCCCAAGATTTTGGCACTCCCCGGGCCTTGCCGTGCTGGAGGCGCCTGAACAGGGTCACACAACATGGCCGGATATCTCCTTTGAAGAAGCCTTACAAAATCGGAGCAACCAAAACCCGAAGCCGGGGGGCCTTGCAGGTCCAGCATCAAGGCGGCGGCTTCGGCGTCCACCTGGGCCCTCTCGCTCTCCTCGGTCAGGTTTTGGAGGTCTCTTCGGATCCGGATGGCGGCTTCCTCGATGGCGCCAATCTCCTCAAGCTCCTTGTCGAGGTCTTTCCTCTGCCAGGCCGGCTTGTGCGCGTCAGGGTCGTCGTCGCTGCCGTCTGGGGCTGCGCCCGCCCCACCGCCCAGGAACTCGCCATCCTTCCGGCGATTCCTCGGGAGAATCGGGTTTGCAGGCATAGGACAGACCTTGCAAATATGGGCAAATCAACAGGCCTGCGGATCCACCCTCCACCCTACTTCCCGCTCTTCCACCAGTTGCTGCTGGGCAGCCGCCTGGGCTCCAGGACTCCGGCAGCCAAGGCAGGCTCGTCCTCTCCATACAAGGCTATAGGTTTAACAGCCCTGCACTGTTACTTGCAGCTCTCGTCTCCTCGCCCGGCGCGGCCTCCACCGCACGGACTGCGCCGGCATCCAGGGGCCTTTGCAACAAGGACGGGTACTAACCCTAACCCTAAACCCTATAGAGGGCCGCGTTATGTCGCATAGAGCGTGCGCCGGGCATTCTCCTGCGTGCCCAGCTGCGCTTGAGGGGCGGCCACGGGCAATCGAGGCCGCGAGCCCAGAGCGCTGGTCGGATACTCCTGTCAGGATGTTTAGGGTTTAGGGCGCCTGGGCCTTGAATTGGGCCGATGCAGGTGCTGGCCTTGAACCTTTTGAGGCGCCTGTAACTGCACATCAAACCCATCTTTGGTCTCTTGACATGCGAGAAACCTTCGATAATTCGCGCTCTGCAAACTTTATCGGCCCCTAAACCCAAATTACTCTGCCTACTACTAGTATGTTGAATTCTACCTGTATATACCTGTCTTTATGTACATATACGTATAGATTGCACACATGACTAGGAAGTTGGCATCGGCAGGTGGCCTCTAACAAGGCCCTGGCAGCTCGGGCGGCGACGGAGGCGTCGACGCCGCGGACTCCCGCAAACGCCGCGGCTGCAGCCGAGGCCTCGACAGAAAAGAAAGCCAGACAACACCATCAGAATCATGAATCTCGGTTCATCCTATCTATCAGAATCAGTCACTCACTGCTATTTTCTGAATGTCCTTGTATGCATAGGGGCATTAAATCAGCAACTATGGCAGGCAGAAAACTCTTAAAGTATGCGAACAATTCAAAGGGCAATGCGGCATGCGGCCTCCTTGGCCGCCTCGTGAGGCGAGCGGTTGGCACCCAGCGCTCCATCACCTGCTGCGCGGCCGGCGACCAGAGCAGCAGCGGAGGCGGCAGCCTGCACTCCAGCGATGCCCAGAAGGTTTATAGGGTATGTTTTGGGTTTTTGGAGGGTTTTTTTAGGGTTTTGAAGAGTTCTTTTAGGGTTTATAGGGCGCATGGGAGCAGCACAGTGCAGTTGAGTCTCGGTTTCAGAGAGCTCGGGAAGCTCCAGGAATACTTAACAGCAAAACATGGGATCGAATAGGCCTCCTTGCTGAAACCGTAGCTCTCCAGAAGCCGCTCTGCCGCCTCAAGGGGAACTTAACTACCGGCTTGCTGTTGGCCTATCGTGCCGGACCTGAGAATTCGAACCAATGTTCGCTCTCAAACGACGGCCGTTCACATCCCGTCCACATTTGCCTCGCCAGCGCACTTCGCAGCAGCGTCTCGTGGCTGGCCCTCGGGCATGCGGCGCGATACAGCAACGATCACGATCCCCAACAACAGCAACAGGTCAGCAACTGCCGCGACGCCGGGCCTTCGACAATGCACCGGCGGCCGCGGCAGCGCCGGCAGCCAGCGCAGCGGCTTCTGCAGCGGCCTGCGCAGGTGCTTTCAAGGCTTTCGGAGCTTTACTCACGGCCTCACCATGCCTCACACATCTCCATCTCACCCCTCCCGCTCTAAATTTTGTGGGATCTGAGATCTTCCAGGCACTTCCCCAGAGTGAAACGGCCAGGACAGGCCTTTCGGTTCATCCCCTGCGACTCTGCAGCTGCGAAGGCATGCGTGGCGGCTGCCGCGGCTGCCACGCTGCCAGGCTTTCCTTCTGTGAAAGATGCCTCTGCTGCAAGGGCACCTGCCGCCAAAGCTGCACACTTGGCGACCTGGCTGATTGCCAAGCGGGCATCTAAAGCTGCGGCTGCTGCTGCTTGACCTGCTGAAGATGCAGTCTCGCCCAGACTTGCACCTTTTGTGAGGAGGGCCCTGCCACAGAACATGCCCGCACTGATGGATGCATGGTAGGAAGCACGATCGGGTGCCAGATGCGCGCCCAGCCATGCCAACTTTGCTGCCGTGGCTGCTTCGTCTACCGCCTCTTCCAAGTCCAAGCGCCGGTCCAGGGCCTCCTGGCCAACCACACGCGCGACCGTTGCCAGCGCCACCTCGCCAGCCACTTGCGGAAACATTCCAGCCAGCCGGCCAGCTGCAACGGCGTTGTTCCCTGCAGCCTCCGAAGCTTCTTCAATGCTGGCATTCTTCAAAGCCAGGCTCTGTTCCAGCACAAACCTAGCAACCATCGCCACTGCTGCAGTTGCTGCGATGCTAGGATTCATCCCAGCCTCAAGAGCCTTGGAAACCACGGCGTGGCCTTAGTTACGCAATGTTCGGCTGGTATCCATCTATATAGTATGTATGGCGTTAAAACGGACGAGCCATTTCACTTATTTGTGGTCCTGTAGACACGCCGAGTGACCAGCAGTTGCAGCAGCCTTTTCCAGCGGCTTCGCTTCCAAATTCGCCACGTGCCCGGCTGCTGAGCCGGCATGGAGGCTCGCACACTCACAGGCCTTTTCTGGAGGCAGCCCAACATCCAGTGCTGCGCGCTCAGCAGCAGAAGACACCTGCCAAACGAGGAGATCTGTGCCAGCCGACAGCCAGATAAACTGTCAAGCATGAGCTAAGCGCGCTAACCGCGCTAACCGCTAACCTCAGCCCTGCTTCAATGTACCACTATTCAATCCCTCAGCAAATGCTTCAACCATAGCTTGCTAGCAGCAACTCCTGAAGCAAATCTGGCCGGCCTGTAGCACTGCCTCCTCTAACGAGCAGCATGTTGACATGGCATTTGATGTGGCTGCACGTGCGGCTGTTAAGACGGCCAGGCCCTGAACATCATTGAGGGGCAACTTCTGTTTCTGTCCCTGCTGGGTAGCTGCAGCGGCTGCAGCCTTTGGGGCTGCTGCGGCTTCTCCTTGCAGTGCTTTCGCGCAGGCGGCTGCGTGCGCGGCCGTCTTGACGGCACAATGCCGCAATCGGTCGGAGCTGGTCTCTGCAAGCTCGTTTACCTTCTCCACGACCTGCTCTGCCGTGGCCAAGGCGTCCTCCGTGCTTGTCGATGCAGTCATGGTGGCATCGAGGACTGCCCAGGTCACAGCCAAGCAGATCACTTCAGCACTGCGGGCTGCCGTTAGGCCCACAGCATCACCAGCCTACCAGCAGGTCAAAAACGAAATTTCAAGTCGGAAGCAGGACGTGAAACTGGAACGGAGGTGCATGCGGTGCATGCTGCATGCTGCCACCCTCCCAAGCACCTGGAGGCCCGCAGCGCAAGACCCGGCCAGCATTGTTGCGTGATCCTGTTGAAGACAGCCACTGTTGGGACTTCTGCAAGCTGCCGGTGCATGAGCAGTCTTGGAATACATCCTCGTGCATCGTGCACTGCAACAGCCTCGTTCGCTGCCCTGGCAGCGCGGACAGCGTGAGTGGCCGCTGCTGCAGCTGCCACTTCGGCTGCCTGGCAGGGCTCCGTTGAGTTGTTCAATTGAATCCTGATTCAACCAAGCTCTAAACATAAGCTACATAAGCAAAAGGTTCAGCGGCCTGGCAGTGCCGGAGACTCGCCGTGGCTGCGACCGTCTGTGCCAAAACGGCCAGGGTCGCCACGTCCCCCGGACTGGTTGGAGGCCTCCACAACGGTGGCCGTCGCACAGGGACTCGTGAAGAGACGTAGTATGCCAGTATACAAGTTCCAAAGGTGAGCTGCGCTCTTTGGGCATGGGTGGAGCTCCGACGGCCTCATCTTGGTCAGCACTTGTGCTGCAGCCTCGATGCCCGCATCTGCTGCCGGGCCTACGTCGGACTTGAAGGGACCAACAGGGATTGAAAAACATCAACTGCAAGTAAATGCGAGGTGGCTGACATGAGTGGGGTGGAACGTGGTGGATGCTGCCTGGAAGCAAGCCCGCAGCGATTCCGGCCTTTACGCCAGCAGCCCCTGCAGAAGCACTTGCCAGCACTTGCCAACAGATGAAACAAGGTCACAGGAGGGGCAGAGTCTGTGCCTGCTTTCGAAGCTAGATCTTCTGTGCTTTTCTCAGCATCGCCAGCCACTATCAGCTTGCCCAGCGTGGTCGCAATCGCCTTGCCGCTGGCCTTGTTGTCACCATGCGCACGAAAACCCCGAACCCAAAGGCTTCGCAAAACCTCGTTCATCCCAACTTGTGCCTCCGACCTGGCAGGCCATGACCACAATTCAGTTGATCACCAACCCAGAGGGTTTTTTTGGTAGAACTCTTGGAAATACCCAGAAACCATACCAAATGGTGGAATCATGTTATGTTGTTGAAAGCCACGACATCTACTCACTTATAGAAATTAGAAGCAGCCTACACAGCGCATCTATCAGAGTGCTTCTAATTGTGTAAAGATGGGATGCTATAGACACAGACATACATATACATATACATAAACATATACATAAACATATATATATATATATATATATATATATATAGATTTGTAAGTATGTGTATACACATGTACATGCACATATTTAAAGAACAGCGGGGCCCTAAACCCGAAACAGACACAGAGAGACGGACAGGGAGAGACTAAGATAAGCGTATGCCCCAAACTCCATGAGGAGATGCGCCTCTGCCAGAGGCTCCATTCCGTCGGCAGCTTCGCGTGCAGCTGCCTCCAGGACGGCCTTTGCAGACTCTGTGGGAGCTTTCGGAGGGTCCGCAGGCTTGCCCACTTTGCTTATGATTCAGGGTTTGGGGGTTATGGGCCTTGGGTTTTGCCAGAGGGGCTTCTTTTGGAGCTGTAAGGTAGCTGCAAGCCGTGCAGGGTTCCGCTGCACAGCAGAAAAGCTTCATCCAGGGCTGCTTCCCCTGCAGAACTCGAAGCCGTAAACCTGATGTAGCCAAGTACGGTTGCCGGTCATGTCTTGTTTCTATGATTTTCTATACTGTAAACCTCAAGCCATCTTTAAGTTAGCTGGCTATACAATGGAGGGAACAACTCAAAGAAATTGCAATTCAGGTGCAAACCCTATAACCCCTCTACCCTGTGGAACTTAACCCTCTAAACTTGCTACACACCCAAAACCCTAAACCCTAAACCCCAAACCCCAAACCCTAAACCCCAAGCCGCTCAGGGTGGATCCAGGCCTCAGGGCCTCGGCCGTTGGCCACCAAGGACTCAAAGGCGATCCTGGCCAGAGTGGAAGCCGGGATTTGGGTGCAGGGTTTAGGGTTTCGGGTTTAGGTATTGGGGTTTCGGGTTTCGGGTTTAGGGATTTGGGGTTTAGGGATTATAGGGTCTCAAGTGCAACCCCTGTTCCTTAAGAACCCTAATTAGCCAAAGCCTATAAGCCTCTTATCGCCATCCCACCACTGGTCCGCCACCCTCACCTCGCCCTTGCAGCGGCGGTGGCGGCCGCTGCCGCACTGCCGCGGCCCCTCGCTGAAGAAGCCGCGTCCGCGATCTTGCGAGAGGGTTCGTTGCAGCTTCCCCTATCTCTATCTTTCAGGTGGGGACTGCTACTTTAGGATTGTAGGCTCACAAACCACGGAAAATATCGGATGATGATGCTTTTAGGCTGTTTTCGGTTCCTGGGATATATACGAACCCTGTACCTTATATACGTACTTGTAACAAGGCAAGAATGGACAGCAACATCCCTTCTGATTCATACGCGTGCTTTCCATTAGGCTCAAGGTAGCCAGCGCCTCATACAGTATAGTGTTGGGTCCCGAAACCTTCGTGCTAGAGTCTGTAGAGGAACCCTGTACCCGATCATTAAAGCAATGTATGGGCACATTCGGTCCTCTGAGTCAAGTCTTGTACTTTGGGTCTGGGCAGGCCCAAAAGTTGGTTCTCAAGGGTCCTTTTGAGTGAGTTTGGGGTTTCCAGGTCTATTGCGGGGCGTGGGAGTCACAATAAATCAAGATTTGCAGGTGTAAGCGCGGCCCTGCTTCTGAGGGACGTGCAACATGAACAAACTTGTATGCTTATCAAAGGCCTACAGGGTAATGTTTTTTCTTATGCGCGAGTAGCAGGCTATAGGGTTACTTTGGGTTATAACGAATTCTGCTTCAGGAAGATTTGGTGGTGGGGCTGGGCTCAGCGCCTGCGCTGCCAGGGCACAGGCGGTCTGCAGGGCATTTGCAGGCATGAGGCCTGCCATCATGAGCATGCATGGCATGGGGTGTGCATTTTGTGTTCTTGCGGCTTCGAGTTTCATGTAAGAGCCGATCAGCCATCGTGGGATCACAAAACATACCCATAGCCTTTACATCCCCCTTCCCATGACAATCGAGGTAGCATCTGGCCAAACAATGGTGGCGAAATGCTGCTGGACTGTAGGACCTTGGGCAACGCCCTGGCGCCATGCGATCAGTGCTGCTTCCTCCGCAGCGTCCTGGCAGCACATTGAAATCCAGTCAGGGGTGAGGACGCACATCTCCTTACACGTCATATTGACCCTGCATCCTTCACCATGTCGTAACTCCAACAACTTTGGCAGCAATAACATTCAAAATCTTCAAACAGCTGCGGATCTTCAAGCCCTCAAAAGAACGCCGAACCTGTTCCAAAACCATCCGCAGATCTTTCCCATGCGGCCTCCCCGGATCCGCGCTCTGCCACGACCTGGCCCGCCGCCAATGCAGCCGCGCGGGCCGCCTTCTGAACGCCAATGGCCACGTGATGAGACCCCGGACCCTACATTGGGTGGATCTAAATTGGGGTCGCCCTTTTTGCAGGAGTCTCATGCGTTTTCAGTGTTACACATAACTGTGGCCGCCTCTGTCACAAGCCCGGCGGCGGCCCCTGCGCGTGCCGCGGCCCGTGCACCCGCTGCTGCGGCGTCCTTGTGACTGCAGCTGGAAGGACCCTAGCCTAAGGGTAAAGGAGGGACCTTGGGGTTTTTTCGGCGTTCTTTAGTGGCTACCTACGTATATAGGGGCTAGGTAAATATAGGGGTTATAGGGGAACAAGATTCAGGGTCCTTCTAGGGGTCCCTCCCTAAACCCCTTAAGCGTAAGGCCCTGAGCTCTATAACCCCTGAAGCAAGTTACTGGGCACAAGTCTTCTGTGGGCCCTCGCTTCGGCACAAGGCATAAGACCATACACTACAGTGGGCCGGAATCAGCGGGTGTTCTCTGAATGTATGTGCACCTTGAGTTAAGCAGTCATACCAAAGGTGGATTGCCCCGACTTTGGGCCCCATTTCAAGGCCCCTGCCTTGAGATCAAGCATGAAGGTTCATGACCAAAATGAAAATAATCAGAGTACGAACAATAATGACAATCACAATCAGCATCGTATTTGTAATATTCTTATAGTGCTAACAGCAATAACAGTAATGATAATACTAAGGAGAACATGAACATCTGGCGTCCTGCAGTGTTGCTCCAGCCTCCAATTCCAAGTCCGATGCCACCTCTCGGGGCAGAGGCTTCAAGCGTAGCGCGGCTCACAGAGTGGTTTGGAACATATCATCAACCCATGAAATTTGAGTAAACTTTGGCAAGCCCTAAACCCTATCCCAACCTTGCCAGCCGCCACGGCCGCAGTCTCAGCGGCTTCCTCCGGCCTCAGGCCCGCAGCTGTTGCTGTGAGCATGGCCGCGCGGCCTCTCATGGTGGCTCTCGACTGGATCTGCCATAGACCCCGCGTAACATCTTTCTGATGGTCCTAGTATCGATTGTTTCAGAGTTCGCAGTTGAGACTTGGCGGGTTTAGGCATGGGGTTCGGGTCAGATGCTGTCCTGAACATATCGCGACAGATATGACACATGGAAGGCCAACTCATCGCCAACTAGAAACCTTCATCAAAACATCGTAAACCCTCATAGGACCTTTCCAACTCTTCATATATATGCCATCTGCCATCCTATACTTTCTAAAGCTCTCATGCCCATACACTGTACCACGCATCTCTGCTGCTCGGCCTGCCGCTGAGATTGTCTGATCCGGCGAATGCTCGGCATCCGCTGCATCCTGCATCGTGCTGCATCGAGTGCTTCAGGCATGCGTTCACTCAGAACATGAATATATTGAAATCCTGTACTAAAGCCTAGTCGAAAATACCGAGGAAATGCACAGACACATCGTGGCGACACACTGCCCGAAGACAAGGTGCGCGCATTGTGCGCTCCCGCACCCGCGAACCATGTCCAAAGTATCGTGTCCCTGGTGTTCTGTGCCTCAGAAGCCTATATAAAGGACCTACAAACGGGAGCTGTGGAGCGTTTAACAGTAGAGTCAGGATCAGTCAAACAACGAAGCTGCCGAAATCCGCGCCTGGGCAGCGATGCAGGCGGCCTCGGCTGCCAGGCGAGCGGCCGACAACAACTGGTAGGAGGCCGCAGTGCGGAAGGCCTCGAAGGATGGGAGATTCATGGGGTGTATGGTAGGTGGGGGGTTGTAAGTGGTAGGGTTACGGCTGGTTATAGCCTTTTCATAGCCCATGATTCTTCAAGTAGGAGCTTGGGTTCAAGGGCCCTAAGACTATCTTCTACGGTTTTATGCCACTTGTGGCTTGGGCTTTGAAGGCCCTGATAAGGCTCCACTCATTTTCTGAGCAGATCATGGAACGGGGCTACTACTGGTGCCTCATACTAGTTCATCAGGTCAGTTCAATCAAGAGGTGATGGTTGCCTTAGGGCGAAGGGAATTAAAGCTCCACAGCTTACACGGTCAGTTCTCTGAATTATGGCCCCCTGTTGGGGGGCCGCCTTATAGTCAGGAACCGTAAAGGGACCATATTTTGGAGAAGTGATAATATAGGTGTGAAGGACCAGATGGACGGAAGTTACTGCAAGTTTTTCAGCAAATCTTATAGGGCCAGTTTCTATAGCATCCTGTGCCCCCCAGTCCTCTAAAGCTGAAGCACATGAAGTCCCAGGATAGTTGCGCACAAGGTAAAATTAAGTTCTTTACACAGTCTTTACATAAAGGCTGAGACCGCAAGCCCTAAACCATGAGCCTAACCCTGAACTAAAAACGCCTCAAACCCTGAATCTGAACCCGAACAATAATCAAGTCATAATTTACGAGCATAAGAAATAGCAATACTTTAGAAACACGATACAGCCACCCCTGATCCCCTAAGTTACCCTAAACCCTATAAAAGCTAAATAAAACCTAAAACCCTATTTAAACCTTGAAGCCCTAGCCCTAAACCTCTAAACCTTATAAAACCCTTATAAAACCCTAAACCCCACAACCTCAAAACCCTTTACGCCCTAAACCCCAATAAAAAAAAAGCCCTGGTGACCCCCACAAAAGAAAAGAAAACAAAACAACATATATATATATATAGATATATATGTAGATATATATATATATATATATATATATATATATATGTAATGCTGTTGCAAAAGCAGGCCTCGCTCCCGGCTTCCTCGGCGACGCGCTCCGCCTCGAGGCCAAGGCCAAGGCCCGCCTCTCGAGGCGTGAGGCGGCTGCACGTGCGGCTTGAAGGGGCATGTTTTCTAGGGTCTTTATGGGTCTTCATGGGTGCCTTTATGGTGTGTTTATAGGGTTCCTAAGGGTTTTACAGAGTGATCGGGTTTACTAGGGTGGTTCATAGAGTCTAGGTGTTTTGGGTGTTCTACAGGGCTCTTCTGCTTGTAGGGGTTTTGGGATGCCGTAGGA